AATAAGTTGCAATATATCAATACATTGAAGTCAACGAAGCTATACTATTAAAACTGCAAGAACAGAATTGACACCACAATACCCCATTAACATTCCCATTTTACATGAAAATTTAGATTCGGAAGCATTTCTCTTAAGTGTCAAGCTGGTACTGTACGGTTAAGACCTCACCATTTGCCACCACCACCTTCCCCCACCTCCCACTCTACCCCCACAGACTAAGCCATAAGTTCTTAATTATTTCCCAATTTGAAATATATTTATTTCCATTTAAATCTCCCACTAATCTATTCAGTACAATTTCTATAGCAATTTAGAGAGTCTGGAGCCATCTGGAAACAAGTGGGTTCTCTTAATTATTGAGCCACAACAGCATGCATCACTGTTAAGAATGAAATCTTCAGTCCATAACCACCCCTTCCCTGAGTCTATATGAATCTCAATATTCTGAAATGACCAAAGCAAAGTAGGACAAAAGGAATAGCACATACATACATAAATCCATGACCTTCAGTAGGTTCCAAAACAAGGCAATAAACAGGACCAAGTAAATCCAGATGGTTCTTTATGAAAAGGTTTGTGGAGTGACATTCTTTAACATTATTTTGTTTTATAAATCGATTATTCAAGAAATGTTCATGATCTATTTCTGAATGACCAGCAACCAATAACAATGTCTTGTGACAGGGCATAGAAACCATGGCCTATAATCACAAGAACATTTTTAGCCAGGACCTGTGCCCTAATAAAATAGCTTTCTAGAGACAAAGAATGTCTTTTTTTCAAACCAGCCCTAGAGCCTGCAGATGGAATACAGGAATAAAATGAGGAAAAATCCCTCTTAATCTTGGAGTACAGATTCTCCTCAAAGTTTCAGCTAGAGTCACAGATTCTCCCCAAAACACTCAAGGTACAGTACCAGTTACGGCTGAGCATCTGTATACTATGCTGACTGCTCATCATCTCTTTGAAGGTTCTGCTGTAAGAATTTCTCAGTTGCTCCAAGAAAGCAACTAACTACTCTCATATAGTTTACTCTAACGAGTTATCATTCTACGGTGGTATCTCTTATATTTCATTGTTGAAGTAATTTGACATAGATCCTGAAGTACTGCAGTTGCCAGGAGTCAGCATCCCAATCCTTTACTTCCTTGATAACAATTATAACAGAGAAAGGCATTTCCATGCATCACAACAGCTTCTGGTGAGTACTTCCAGAAACATCTGGCATAAACAGGATCCTACGTGTCATAACCTCCAAAAGTCTATGTGAATGCTCCAGTAGACAACAGCAGGCAAAAACCAGAGCAATTACATAACCTGAACAGTGTGAGAGATAACATTACTGTGGCACTTCAGAGTTCCTGGTCTATTCAAAGGTCAGCTAGAACTGAGGAACATTTCCACATAAATAAAAACACTACTTACAGAGAGCAAACCCTCTTGCAGTACATATATACACCCAACATAGTTAAACTTATACTTGGCAAACAGAGAATGAGCTAGCTTTAATGTAGCCTTGTAAACATCTTACACTAGGTCAGAGTTCCACTAAATGGTTTCATTTATCTCCAGCTCATTGCCATTTTCCAAAAAGAAAATATTACAGAACTTGTGAAACCCAAATTCACGTTCTTCAATAAGATGCATTTTCTAGCCTGTTCCATATAGTGAATGATACATACACAAATTATTTTAAATAACAGAAATAAATGCAGCTTCATCCATTACTGCTAATTTGTGTTTGGTCATTCATAGTATGCATCTATAATACTGGTATTATTGATAATATGCTCTATGGACTAAATTTCAGTCAGAGCTGTGTTTGCTACAATGGTAAAAACAAATATATTTCAAACAATAGAGTTAAATCAAACTAAATATCCTGCTATATGTCAGTAACAGCCATTTGGAGCTCAAAGTACTATGAAGAACAATGCCATTTATATATGTATAGAAAACCATAGGGGGACTGTAAAAAATACTAAGCAGCCATATGTATGTTGAGTATTATTTGTTGGGAACAGGTTAGGTACCAGATAATTATTACAGCTGCTGAACTAGAAATGAGAATTTGCCCTTTCTTTCAAAGGAAAAGAACAGTAAATCTTTTTGGACTGTAAACATTTAAGGAATTTGTTTGCATCTCAACATTGCTCCATTCTGTCTGCCAAGGGGGAAGCTGGAACCACTTTAATTCTATGATTATGTTCAAGTGCCAAAGTATTTGGGTATAGCTAGCTTAAAAATGAATAAATAAGCTAAGCTGTAGGATGAACTTCCCAAACTTCTTTTTCTACTGGAGATTGTGGAATAGAAGGGAAATGGACCTATATTTTCTTGGAATAGAAATTCTTACATATTTTATTTCTGAGAAGAATCACTGTTATCCAAATTCCAGCTCTCTAACCTAGTAGAGTGATAGAATATGCCAGTAGCCACCTTTTTGCTTACTGAAGCTACAAGCTCTCTGCAGAGCTGGAGAGACAAATAATATGGAAAAAAGTTTAGAAGATCGTAACAATCCCTGAAAGTAGAACAGAAAATTATTAGTATCTTCTTATCAGCTCCAGTTTTGGACTAGAGCTTGAAACATTAATTTAAGTATCTTTCACTATGAGAACAGAAGAAAAGAAATGGCACAAGAAAAATAAAAAATACCAACATTTTGATCAAACTACTAAATAAACACTACAGAAGAGATGCAGGTATATTATGACAATTTAACTGTTCCTACCAGCTCAGAGGCACAATATTTATGTGAAGTCTGACCTATTCACATTTTATATTAAACAAATGCTTACCTTTTTTACCAGTTCATATTTCCTCAGACATAAATATGCATATAAATAGGAACTGTCCTCTTTACAAAGACTGTCAGCTGATTGAACAACATCGTTACTGGCAACATTCCCATTTCAGATTATTCAATACTCCAGCACACAGTTTACATTAATTTCATTTTTTGTTTTCCTACCCCTTTATACTTTTATGGAATTCTCTCAGGAGACGCTCTAGCCCTATTGTGTACTGTTGTACTCCAGCTGCAAAAGGGCTGGGATTGGGGCCAGCGTATGTGAATACTTGAAGGGTCACAGGGTCAGGAGAAATTGGCTGCTTCTGCTCTTTCACTCTCCTCCGAGAAACTGTTCCACACCTCATCACTGAGAAATACACCTCCCACGATCGCTTTTGTCTAGTGCAACCAAAACACACTAGTAGAGAGTGTGAGGTACTGGAAGGCTGAGGTCACATTCCAATCAAGCAGATGTTGAAAAGGAAAAAATTACCTTTACCAAGACCTTGAGAAAGTAAAATCATTTCTATTCAAATTGCCTCTAAAGATGCGCTTCATAATCACTGAGTAAAGTCTGTACAAAAGCTAGTCACAGTGCTCAAACGTAACAGAAAATATTTCCTGCATGTACATTTATAATGGCGTTAGTTTATTTTTATGTTTAGCAGTTTAGAAATAACAATTCCAGAAAGTGAATTCCTTGATTTAATCATGTGAAATGCATAACAACAGAGAAAGCAATGGAAATTTCTTCACTTTCTTTTGTCACTGTGCCTCAATGTTGGGGAAGCAGGTTTTCAGTTAGTCTCCCACCCTTCAATCCTATGCCTTCATTGTGGTATTTCTTCAGTTATGACCCACTAGCATTTATGCTGTTAGTTTCTTCCTTAGGTAATAGAATAGGATCCACAGATTTATTCATTTAGGCTCATCAGTAAACTTAGCAGATTTATATCCAGAGATATAAACATATGCATGTGAATCTATCTATTCTCCTCTTTAGTACAGATTCGTTTATCTTTTGCTGGGTTAAGGAACGTGGCACCTCTCATCTGGAACACTTGGAGGAGTATTTACATTATTTCCATTGGGTCATTTTGTTGGCTTTTGCCAGCACTTAAATGGATGAATACCATATCCAAAATACATTTATCATACATGTTGGATCTCATCAACCCCAGAACATACACAATACTTTCAGGTGAGTTCACAATACTGACTTCTTAATTTTTGAAATCTCTCTGTATGAAGTCATTGAAAACTTTCTTCCCTATTTTTGTGTAGATAATGTCACTAGTATTTAACAGTCAATACAAAGCCTACGTTTTCCTGGACTTTCATCCAAGGGGCACAAGATAATGTTCACAGAAGCAGTACTTTTTAGAAGTAGGATTGGCTTTTTGTCTGTTTACTTTGTTTTGTTTGATTTCTGTTTTTCCAGCAGTTTGGCTTACTAATGACTGAAGCTGGTAGGCTTGGGTGAATGTTTCTTAATATTGTATCAAGTAGAGTTGGATGCTAATTTATAAATATATGTAATTTTTAAGTTGAAAAATGGAAATATTTAACATTCTCTGACATAATGCCTGTGTATATTTGAAACCATAGACAGTTTCTTAGGTAAAAGCTTGGCTGTCAGATAGACTAAATGTTCACAAACTGGTCAAAATTTAATAGAAATTCCCCTACTCACACCTTCCTGCTCGCAACATGACAAGAATACTACAGTAATGAAAATACATACATTAGTTTGTTAACAATGTAATCCACAAGGTGGGCAACATGCCAAATCCATTTCCGGGACTCAAAGAACAAAAATGCTCTTGGAGGGTCGATGATCTCCTCGACCTGCTTCCAGATTAATTCTTCTGAGCTACCTGGCTCCAGCCACCATCTGGGCTTGCTCTCACAATCACTGCAGAAATTGTTTCTCAGTTGATTATCAACAGTTTTCAACTAGCAGTTACCAGTGCCCAGATGTACCAGTGGCAACCCCTATGCATTTTAGCACAAAATCACCCTTTTGACTTTAACTGGGAGCGAAGCTTATTATGCTTCACATCTGTTGCAGTGGGGTAGATAAAGAAGCAACCACATTGGCTACACCAGTTCAGACATCAGCATAGTCATTTCTAGTTGCAAAATAGTGGCAAAATTTTGTGTTAGAAAGTGGCACCTTAAAATTGCAAATAGATGTTCTCACCTGCACATGTGCTCCCGTTGTCAGTGACAGGATAGTAGCACTAGTGAGATCAGTAGACCAGTTTTCTACTATGGTAATACCAAACATTAATCCCTAAGAGAGAAATCAAGAAAAGAATTTCACAGTTACTGCTGCTTTGATGATATTAATTTGAGAAGATATAACAGGAAGATCCAAGTACACTAACTGAAATTATTACCCATATGAGTAAATCATGGAAAAATAAAGTACTCTCTCCTACTCTGCTCTGGTTAAAGTACACTAAAAACTGTTTGCTGACTGTATGTGATTTAGGTTTACTTAAATCATGTCTCTATGCAGGAGTTTCAGGCTTTATAGCTACTTTTTTCTTCCTATCAGCCTTTAAAGGTATCTTCTGAAAAGACAATATATAGTTTATACCAGTTTAGTTTAACTATTCCCCATCATTTTGAAATAAGTCAACAAAGAAATGATATAAAACCCCATTGGAAAATATACATCTTTTAAGCAGCTTAATTTTTTGTCACTTAAAAAGAAGGTAATATAAGTTACTATATGGAAAAAAAAAAAAAACTAATTAGAAAAGCAGACACAATCTATCCTCTCTATATTTCTGGCAAGTTGGCAACAGCTCAAGAGTGATCAGAGACTGGCCTATTTCTCAAGGATCTCAGGAGACTGTAATATTTTAAATCATAATCTTAGGAAAATGCCTAAAGCATTTTTTAAATGATCTTCCTTTTCAAAAAGAGCAAAAAAAAAAAAAAAAAAGTTCTGCTCTCCAAATTGGCTGAGAGCCAGAGATACTGTAAACAATTGTTTAAAGAAAGCTTGAGACACCCTACATTGACAGAGACTCAAGCAGATCTGAACTTTTGCCAGAAGAAACATACTTTATCTGTGAGAGAGAAAAAACTGGGAATAAGTTGTTCATGAGCAAAAATAAAGCAGCACAATTGCTCAGTGGTACTTTTTTTTTTTTTTTTTGGGGGGGGGGGGGGGGGGGGGGGAGGGAAGCAGAGCTTAACAGCTTTCCAAATTTCCCATAATCATATGAAGATTGGAAAAAGTTCTTAAGGCTGAAGAGACAACTTTACGATGTTGTGCATAAAATGATCATGTTTTCCTCTTCACGAGGGGAGAAACTAAGACAGGAATCATTAACCCAAACCTCCACATTCTCTGTTCAGCAGTACAACTTGTTTGTAATCACGTGTGTTATGCATATATAAATGTTATATAGGTGGCTGGAGCATGAGTCAGGTAGCAAGGACTGGGATTTAAGGTGCCTCCATCCTCAGTATCTCCACTGGCTCTGATTTCATAGAAACACAGGATGGCTTGGGTTGGAAGGGATCCTCATCCAATCTGGTCTTTAACACCTACGGGGATGATTCTGGTGATTAGGGATTGGCCCTAAATTGAAGTAATATTTTAAAGGATTGACCCTTTTCAGTTCAGCTCCTACAGTAAGAAGGAACTGTAAGAGCCAAATTTTGCCAGTAACTAAGCAGCAAAAACATTTTCCATCCTATCATGAGAATTCAAGCCAAATGGCGTACCTTGACCTCGTATGTAGGACCTACACTCTACTAGGTGTTTGGCAACCAAGTAATTTATGAAATCTGGACCTTAACTCCGATGTGTGTTAGTGCCCCCTGTAACAGAAACAGACTTGAAACCATTTATCCTCACAACAGCTTTGTGAGAATAAATAAAGGCCACTCATGGTTACCATAAGGCTCTATCATGGAGTCTTGAGATGTTCTTTTGGGACATTTTATCTTAATCTCCTTTAGTTTTGTTATTACTATTTCTTTTACCACACAAGTTTTAGCATGAGACTACCCATGTAACCCACTTTACATTAAAACAATTTTAACAACTCCAAAGTAGCTAGTTTGCCCTTTTGTGTCAATGCCTAAGTAGTTTTAACTAAAGCATGACTGATAAATGTAAATATTCATTACTAGTTCTGTTAACGTTAAAATCATAATGTATATACTTCTTGGTTTGGGTTATAAATACACATTCTCTGCATACCTGGTTTCCACTATGTGTGGCAGGCAGGTATTTTGAAGCAGATAAACACAATTCTGGTATCCCTTCTTATCTTCTGTGTGCAATTGCATAGTAGAAACATACAAGAAATTGGGAGAGGGCGGAGTAAACTTCTCTATTGTGTGATCTCTCTTCAGTGATCTTTAGTGATGCTAATATGTTTCAGATTATGCATTAGGTTAAAAGTACAAAAAGAAAACAGGTCTGGACACAGGAAAATCCCTGTGTCCATTCAGGAAACTTCAGATTTCCTGTTGGGAAGTGCAATACTGGAGGATGTAGCTGCATTGCAGTAAACATTATAGTGTCTACATGAAAAGGAAGGAAAACAGGATTAATTTTTATCCATTATTAACACTACTCATTTTGTACACAGCTCATTTTATAACTACAGGACAAATTGGAGATAAAGGACACAAAGTAGCCCTCCAAATAATTATATTTCGGTATAGTTGTTCAATTGCATATCATTTTAGTTTCTGAATGTTTTTAAAAATCAGTAAAATAATGTTGTCCTGTCAGTTTGTAAGAGCTAATAAAAAATAAACATTAGACAGACTATGTAAAAAGTCAGTCCTAGAAAATAATAGTTTTGAGATGCTGGAAATAAAATAGTCAAGATATTTTCCTTCGGTTGCAATTAGTGTCACTGATATACAAAGTTCTTTGGAAACAGTAATAATAAGAAAATCTTGCAGAGGAGTTTATTTTAGCCCTTTCTTTGTTAAAAGGAAGAAAGTTTATTATCTTTATTCTGACTGTTACTGTCCAAGCTGATGAACCAGCCAAGTGAGTGATGTTTTTCCTTAAGCCCTTATTTGTTTTATGTTCACATTTCATGGATTAGTATCACTGTAGTTTAAGTAACAACAATCAGAACTTATTATAATAAACATTTTGCCAAGCTGTTTAAGCTGAAAGTCTGAGAACGTTAAAAAGCTAGAGAAAACAAAACAAAACTCTCCCCTCAAATATTCTCCTCCTACCCCCAGCAGATCACTAGGTATGACTGTAGTTAATAGTTTCAATACTATTTTGCTTTAATATCCACACATTTTTGCTATTCCCATGACATGCAAAACTAAAACTTTCCGTACATCTGAGTATATAAGCCAGTTAAACATGACTGTTCAGTCTTCCTTTAAAGGAGAGAAATGATGTACCTCTCAGAATATTGTGGAGCCTCATTCAAATACCCCTATGAACTGTTGATGACCAATGACAACTGCCTTGATTTCAGTCAGGCACAGGTCATTAAGCTTGTGAAGAACCATCTCCTCAAAATCATTTCTAATCATTCTGGCCAAGAGTGATATGGTCAAATAAAAGGCCATGAAGTAAATAATAAGTAAATAAAAGGCCATAAAAGGCACAGAGTGCCTTTTCCTTGGTCAGTCCTCCAAACAGAAATTCTTAGCTCCGCCACTGACATACAACTGTTTTTATGAAAACTGTGAACATAGTTTTTAACCAAAACATCATGTAGAACACTCAGACATGTTAATCTCAAATAAAAAAGCTTTATATTTTGGGACGTATAAGCATGATAAGAGTGGAAAATCAGAGGTACCAATTACAACCAACTCTAGTTTCTTTGTTAGACAGAATTCTGGTTAAATGAACTATACGGAAGTTGTATTTATTGTGTCTGGCAAAATAAGGTTTAGCACAGCAGGTCGATGTTATAAATGTGCATTTAATTGAAAGTTGTGGTAGGTAATTAAAATCTCCTGGATCATTTTATTTGGTACAAACCTGTAGGCATCCAAACCTATAGAACTATTCAGTGACTAAGGGGCACTTGAATTTAAATTTGTCTTGTTTTTCTAGAAGGATCGTACGCATTAGTGTTGTTTCAGACAAACTACAAGAAAAGTGAAGTATTTTTACTTATTTCCCAAACACATAGTATATAAGCAACTATAACTGTCTCAAACAAACCTTTCCTTGACAACTGCACAGAACCAGAGCTGGATGCAACTGTTCTGCATTGCCACTGTTCTTTAGAAGATGAATCTGTATTTGTAAAAAAATAGAAGAAACGAATTTCCATTCCAGAATAGGTGATACTGCTCTTTCTCCTCTATGCACCATTAACTAAAGTCTACCACAAGAGGTAAAATTTTAGATAAACTGCAGTGACTTTTTTTTTTTTAATTAGAATGATTAATTCAACCTTTGAATGACAAAAATAAAATGTCACTGAGCTACATGAACAAGGGGGCTTGCCAACCCCCAGAAGATATCCAATGACAAATAGTTTGAAAGTTTGATTTTCTGAATCCTCCAATACATAGGAGGTTTGATCCATACATCTAGTGGACTCTTAGCATGATCCACAGCAGCTTCATTACTGTGTCTTGAGACCTATAAAAAACAACTGCATCATTTATCAAGGTAGATTGGTATCACACTGTGAGCTGCTACGGGACAAAAAACTCATCACTAACTCAGTCCATAACTAACTACACAGCTGATCATATGATCCACTGCAAAATCCTTCTTAAACATAGCATGAGATATCTATGAACTAATAACAATTTAATTGAAGTGCTGACACCGCAGCAAGAGGAGATTTATTGGTTTCTGGCTGATTCATTGAAGCAGTAGAATGTTCTGCCAATTTGGGTGATGAAGTCAGGCAGGGCTTTAGAAGCTTTTCAGTTGTGTCTTTGCGTGCAGCTGAGGTAACATGCTATTTCTTGATTTCTTGACTACAGCAAAGCACCTCAAAATAAAGTTATTTGATTAACGCAATCTAAATCTTGGAAATTAATAAACACAAAAAAATAGATGATAATCACCCTCAGTGAGACACTGAGATCAGTAGTACTACACTAAGAATATCATTTGAGAGTTGGAGGTAAGCATTCACAGGCCAAACTTAGCATGTTACTCTATACCAGCTTAAATTCAGAGACTGTAACAGTGGCAATCATTGCCTTGCACACCTATTAAGTACACTCAGCATTTTTTTCTTAATTAACAAATTCACAGGTGTACATGTCCATTCAGCTTTGCTTATTAATTTTAGACATTAAAAATTTACA